TTCTTTCTTTCTTTTTTTTTTTTTTTTTTGAGTCAGAGTCTCTCACCCAGGCTGGAGTGCAAAGGCATGCTCACGGCCACCGCAGCCTCCACCTGCTAGGCTCAGGCGATTCTTCTGCCTCAGCCTTTCAAGGAGCTGAACTACAGGGTGTACCACCACTCCCGGTTAATTTTTCTTCATTTATTGTAGAGATGAGGTCTCACCAAGTTGCTCAAGCTGGTTTCTAACCCTTGCGCTCAGGCGATCCTCTCACCTCAGCCTCCCAAAGTGTTGAGATTGTAGGCCTGAGCCATCAGGCCCAGCCGCATTACAGCTCTTAAAAAAATTGTCTAGCCGGGCTCGGTGGCTCAGCCTGTAATCCCGCGCCTTTGGGAGGCTGAGGTGAGTGGATTGCCTGAGCCTGCAGGTTCGAGACCCACCTGGGCAGGCGAGACCTCATCTCTACAATAAAATTTTACAAAATTAGCCGGGCGGGGTAGCGCGCGCCTGTAGTTCCAGCTACTCGGAAGGCTGAGGCGGAAGGATCGCCAGAGCCCAGCGGGTCGAGGCTGCGGTGGGCGGGAGCGGCCACTGCACTCCAGTCTGGGCGACAGAGTGAGACTCCAACTCAAAAGAAAAAAAAAAATTGGTAGTTTCTTGGACTCAGTACTGTGTCTTTGGTTGTACTCACTACACATGCGGGTAATGTGTCCAGAACTCCGTATTTCAGGCCAGGAGACATCTACTAATTAATGTCCAGGAAACAAGATGATTTCTCCCGGTACCTCCCACTCAACTTCTGCAAACATAGTCTAAATGTAATGTGGTACCTGTTTCTCCTTCCTGTGCCTCAGTTTCCATCACGCAAACTGTAATTGCATAGCACAACCTCAGAGGGACTTACAGAATAAGTCAATGTTGTGTGCTGTGAAGATGTGAATTGCTTAGATAAGTTTAAGTCCTGAATGGTCTACAAGTAGACTTCCCAGTTATCCAGGGCTCCTGATTTGACTGATAATTGATACTTATGCTCAACTGGTGTAAGAATTGCTGCTTTACATTGCTTTGAAGTTCAGCTTATTCTTAAAAGTTATATATATAATCTCTCTCTATATATTTATTTCTTGGTGATGTTGTCAAGGTAAAGTTTGCAGGGTTGTTGCTGGATTAGAATTCCTAATTTGCTGTTCTCTTCTGTGGTCGTGTCCACTTTTTGGTGTAAACTTCTTCACATGTCTCCAGCTGAGGGGACATATTATAAGAATGTAGGTATATATTCACATATCCTACTTTATATGGGACCACAAGTATCAACTTTTAAATTTTGTATTCTTTCATTTGCTTGTCCCCTTCCTTTCCCCGCCTCCTGTAAATATGGTTGAGTGTGGTTGAGTTGGATTGTCAGGTATCTAGGGGTTTTTTTATTTATTTTTTTTTTTTTTAATTAATCAGTATTTTTATTATAGTTTTGTGGGGTACAGTTAAGGATTAGGTGTACAATTACGTTTCATCTAGGGGTTTTTTATATGTTCTGTCTTGAGGTTCAAGATACTGACCCTTATTTTCTTAAAGGAAAATAGTGAATCCTCCAGAATTAGCTGGAAATGAGTGACAAAGGTAATCAGTAGGTTAAAATGGCATCATTTCTGCTTTTATTCAGTGTTGTTGAAAAATGTAACTTAGAAGCAAAAGACTTCTTTGAAGAATTTGCAGAGAGATTACGAGAGGGGCAGATGGAGAAAGAGGTGCAGGTGATTCAGAGATGATATTGTGTTGATGAAGTTTCAGTAACTTAGTTCCCCCACGAGTGTTTCAGCAGCCTTAGGTGCGAAACCATTAAGAGCTCAGCTGCCTCAGTACCCAGTACTCAGTCTCAAGAGAAGAAACCAGGAAAAAATAACCCCGAAGGGAGAAAGAAATGTCTATCTACTAGCTTTGCTGCACCACCAAGCATAGAGGTGCCAAAGAGCACCTTTCATTTAACCCTGTGGTTGCCCTGCTTCCCCTGCTCTAAGCTTTACTTTACAGAGACATTGTCATTTCCAAGAAATAATTTTAGAAAAAGTAGTGGCTCATTTTAAGACTGGGCGCAGTGGTTTATGCCTATAATCCCGGCACTTTGCGAGGCAGAGACGAGAGGACTGCCTTAGCTCAGGGCTTTGAGACGAACCTGAGCAACATGGCTCTACTTCGTCTCTACAAGGAATCTAATTAGCTGGGTGTGTGGTGGCGTGCTTGCTTGTGGTTCCAGCTACTTGGAAGGCTGAAGTGGGATTACTTGACCCCAGCAGGTCAAGGTGGTGACAGAAAGTCTGACTCAAAAAAAAAAAAGGGTCATTTTATACCAGTAAAACATTTCTCTACATTGTCTTCTGAAATATTATTAGAGCAAGGGGGCGGGGGAGAAAAATTCGAGGAAGGGAAACTCCAGCAAATGTGATTTATATTCATGGTTTTTTTTTTTTTTGAGTCAGGGTCTTACTTTTTTGCCCAGACTGGAATGCAGGGGCATGATCAGGCCTCACCCCGACCTCGACCTCCTGGGCTCAAGCAATGCTTTCCTACTAAGCCTCCATAGCAGCTGGGACTACAGACACCCACTACCAGGCCCAGTTAATAATTTTATTTATTTATTTATTTATTTATTTATTTATAGATTTATGTGGCCCAGGCACTCCTGGGCTCAAACTATCCTACTGTCTCGGTCTCCCAAAATGCTGGGATTACAGGCACGAGCCACCGCACCTGGCCTAGTATTCTGATGTTCTTTAGATCAGTTTGAAAATCCTGGAGGCCTGTGAAAATTGCTCTTTTTATTGTTTACCTCTCTGCAAGGTGTTCAAGTATTACATTTGTTCCCATCTTTTTTTTGCCCACCCAATACTCCTATTAAAGTAGGTCTACAATTAGTGCAATTCCATATCATGACCCCAGGGGCAGTGAGACTATGCCAACATGAGTTACATAACCATTAAGTAAAACATTTTAACACTCAGTTACATTACATTCCACTTTTATTGAGCAGACGTGGTTTTCACTGTCTAATAAAATATTTTTATTTGATAGTCTGTCCTTGCTTATGGCCTCATGTAATCAAGGAAACAACATGTTTAAGACTTTATATCCAGGACTTTAAAGTCCAGTTGTGATTCATTTATTAATAACTCATTGGGCAGGTAAAATTCCTGGTTATCTACAGTATCCTCCAGTCCACACTTGAAATGTAGAATATGTTTCTACTTTCTCCTATGCCTCAGTTTCCATAAAACACACCCTTAGGGAATTATAGAGAATTATGTGTATTCAACAAAGATTTTTAAGAACATTTCTAAGCAGTCACTTATCTAGGATATAAATTCTAGGATTAATTTTTATTGAGCTATAAACAGCTAATCTGTTTAAGATATGATTACAGTCATGCAGGAAAATGGAAGTTGTGATCTAAGAATTACTAGGCCCCTAAAAGAAATGATGAAATTGTATTTTCTTAATTTCCCCCCCAAATGTCTGCAATAAGATCCAACATTGCTTTTGCAGCATGGTGATAAAGTTTTAATTCTAACAGTGACCAAATGTGTTCACTTTTTTTGAGTTGGTGTCTCACTGTGTCGTCCAGTCTGAAGTGCAGTGGCACATTCACAGCCACTGCAGCCTCAACCTGCAGGTATCAGGCGATCTTTCCACCTCAGCCTTCTAAGTAGCTGGAACTACAGGCATGTGCTACCACACCCAGCTAATTTTTGATTTTTTGTATAGAAGAGGTCTCACCAAGTTGCCCAGTCTGGTCAAATGTGTTATTTACAAAGAATATTGACCAGTTGTGTAGCCTTGAGCAAGTTGCCTGACTTGTCTGTGCCCTAATTTCCTAAAGTGTATGTTTGGAGTATTAATATCTATCTTGGATAGTTAATGAAATACTACATGTAAGACTCTAGGAACTGTGACTGGTACATGGGACGCATTCAACAAATGTCGAACATCATTCGTGGAGGTTTTAATAATATTTAAGTACAAGTTAAATCTATATTTTGACAATTGATACTCTGACTTGCGAGGCAGAATTTTTTTTTTCAGTCATACTTAATTTTTTTCTTCAGTTGTCCAAGGAAACATATTAACCATGAAAGATATGGTTAATATCTTTCATTCCAGGGTGTAAACTCCTGACTTTTGGTCCAATAAGTGACTATTTTCAGAATGTTGTCTAACTAGTTAATAGATACCCATATCAGCATTAGTAGCAATTTTGAACTGTAAAAACAAAACTTTTCTTTTTATGACTAAAATAAACTACCTCAAGTGTTGGTTCCTTTTCGTTTTTTATCAATATTCATACTTCAAATTATTGCTTAGTCAAAAACCTCAAAGTATTAGTCACTGATTTTTTTGAGCATATAAAGGAAACCACTGAGCAAGATATAAAATTAACCTTTGACGTTGGTCCGAAGTTCAGAAGGGTGAGTTTAAAACTTTCTTAATGATGGTACAGCAAGTATTTGCTTATAAGCTGCTGAAGTAACCCTACACGAGCATTTGACCAAGTCTGTTTGTCTCTTTTAGCTGAGACCTTCAGTGATACATCAAAAAGAAAAAAGAAAAAAAAAGGTTGTGTTGGGACCTGTAAATTCATCCTTGCTTTCAGCATCAAAACTTTGACTCTCAACAAAAAGCTTTTATTTCTAAATTAAAATAAATTAACCTTTTACTTTTATGCAGCCTCATTAAACATTTAAATGTTTTCTTTTGTATCTGTTGATTTGTAATTATTGCTATTTTTATGTCTTGCAGATTTTAGGTGATGGGCAGATCAGAAAGTCAGATGGATATAACTGATATCAACACCCCAAAGCCAAAGAAGAAACAACGATGGACTCCGCTGGAGATCAGCCTCTCCGTCCTCGTCCTGCTTCTCACTGTCATAGCTGTGACCATGATAGCGCTCTATGCCACCTATGACGGTGAGCTACTCCCACAGCTGTGCATGTGTCAATGCAAAAAAGAATGAAATCCTTATCTTATCCTCTTACCATCTACCTAACAAATGTGTTAAGGGTAGAGGTGCTTAAAGACAGTGATGCAAAGATTCATTTATGAATTGTAATATCTGTATGTCAAAACAATTAACTTTGACTGAAGTACAATGTCTTTTACATGTGAACTAAGTTATTAGTTGCCAAGTATATACAGTGCAAATATATGCAGTTATTAATTGCCAAGTATATTTAGTGCTTACTTTATGAGGATTCTAATGTATAATTTTATTTTATTAAAGCATACACAAATTTATGGCCCAACTTCAGTAATAGTTATTAGTCAACTTTTGTTGTGTCATTGAAATTCTAAGGGGCTTCACAGGAATTTAAGACATCTAATTTGAGTCTTGGAAGCTTTTCACAGTAAGGATTAGAAAAAATTGGTTCCTTAACGGGGGAAAAAAATTATTATCCTACTAAAACGACCGATTATTTCAATTTAATGGGCCTAGGCTTAATTGGTGGAGATGATACAATATCACATTTTTTGTTCATAATCAAGATTTTAAATTTAGGATTTGCCTATTTTATTTTTTTCTTGCCTTTATATTTTTTTCTAACCACTGTCAATTGTATATAATGCTCAGGTTTTAGAGACAGGGTCTTGTTGCCCAGGTTGGTCTCTAACCCCTGGACTCAGGCAATCCTCTTGCCTTCGCCTCCCAAAGTACTGGGATTACAGGAATGAGCCACTGGGCCAGACTAATTGGCAGTTTTTAAAAGAATATAAAGATAAGAAGAAGTTAGAAAGCTTGTGTCGCAAATATTTATGCATATGCCCTCCTTTTTCTAGATGGTATTTGCAAGACATCAGACTGCATAAAATCAGGTAAGAAATAGTTTTTACATTTAATAGTTTTACAATTAATGTATATAACATTTGCTTTGTTTATACATTTGTTTATTGAAGGTCACTTATTTATGTGTCTGGCTTTATAGTCAAGGAAAAAAATATTTAAGAAGTAGATTAATTAACTTGATATTTCTAAAAACAATTCACTGTTTTCAGCCCTAGGTTGTATGGGAGGGCAATAGAAAACTGTATATTACTTTTCTTTTTTTTTTGAGTTGGAGTCTCACTCTGTCACCCAGACTAGAGTGCAGTGGCCGCTTCCGGCCACCGCAGCCCCGACCTGCTGGGCTCCGGCGATCCTTCCGCCTCAGCCTTTCAAGTAGCCGGAACTACAGGCATGCGCTACCACGCCCGGCTGATTTTTTTTTTATTTTATTGTAGAGATGAGGTCTCGCCTGCCCAGGCGGGTCTCGAACCCACGGGCTCAGGCAATCCACTCACCTCAGCCTCCCAAAGGCACGGGATTACAGGTTGAGCCACCGAGCCCGGGTAGAAAACTGTGTATTTCTTTGGAGCTCACCATGTAGTTGGAGAAGGAAAATGAATACACATGAAAGGGTGAGCATTGTATCACTAAGTGTTCAATTTCTCAGTGCGCGTCATTAGAGGGGTGAGGGTTAAGAAGGGAGTGGCATGTAGTCGTGTAAGTCTAAGGGAAGAAGATGAGATTTGGGAAGGGTCTGGCAACAGGGCTAAGTTTGAAACTGGAGGTACAGGCTGGGTGTGGTAACTCATGCCCATAATCCCAGCACTTTGGGAGGCCCAGGCAGGAGAATTGCTTAAAACCAAGAGTTTGAGAATGGTTTGGGCAACATAGTAAGGCCCTGCTTCTCCCCATCTCCTTTTTTTTTTGAGTCGGGTCTCACCCTGTTGCCCAGGCTAGAGAGCAGTAGCACACTCACAGCCACCGTAGCCTCAACCTGCTGGGCTCAGGTGACCCTTCTGCCTCAGCTTTCTATGTAGCTGGAACCACAGACATGTGCCATCATGCCCAGCTAATTTTTTTTTTATTTATTGTAGAGATGAGGTCTTGCCAAGTTGCCCAGGCTGGTCTCAAACCCCTGTGCTCAGGCAGTCCTCCGCCTTCACCCTCCAAAATGCTCCCCATCTTTTCAAAAAGAAAAAGTATCTAGGAGTGGTGGCTCACGCCTGTAATCCCAGCACTTTGGGAGGCCAAGGTGAGAGGATTTCCCAAACCCACATGCTCGAGACCAGCCTGGGCAACTTAATGAGACCTCGTCTCTATAATAAATAAAAAAATTAGCTGGATGTGGTGGTGTGTGCCTGTAGTTCCGACTACTTGGAAGGCTGTGGCAGAAGGATCACCTGAGTCCAGCAGGTCGAGGCTGCAGTGGCCATGAGCATGCCACTGCATTCCAACCTGGGTGACAGAGTGAGACTCCAACTAAAAAAAAAAAAAAGGAAGTGGAGGTACAGAAGAGGGGTTCCAAATACAACCAAAATAAATTATGCTATTGAGCAATAGTAAAATTGTAGTCTTGATAGACAGGGGCACATTACAGAGAGCCTGAAAAATTATCTAGCCTTGATATTGTCTTGATGTTGGAATAGAGATGCAGACATTTTCTGAACCGGGGAGTGATCAGCCTCAAGTTAACAGATGATTCTGGGAATGCAAGGCTGGATGGATTGAGTGAGAAGTGATAAGTTCAGAAAGGCAGGCAGTTACTGTAATCCAGGGATGCGCTGAGGACGTATCCTGTAGTATGATAAGAACACCACTGAGATAACAGGAGGGGAGAATTGGATGACTCAGGGGAACTGACTTGGTAAATGAAATGAAGTTTACAAGCGAATTGAAAATGATGCAAAGCTTTAAAACCCAAGAAACTGAGGAGAATGGTGGCAGCTCATAGAGACAAGAGAGTATGAGGTAGATTTGGACATGTTTGGTTTAAGCCAGGGTGACATCCGCATGGGAATAGACAGCAGGAAGGTAAAGATGGGATCTAGGAAACTGGAATTTGGATTTGGGGTCTGTTAGCTTCGCCCTATTAGTGGAAGCCTTGGAAATATTTGAGTTCCCAAAAGGAGAAGAGAATAAATATAGGGGTTCAATAATTAGGGTAGAAGGAAAAGTAAAGTGAGAGTGGGAAACAGGGATGGGTGTGGAGCTAAGTCACACCAGTTAGATGAATAAGCCGCGGCTTGGTGGCTCAGCCTGTAATCCCTCACTTGGGGAGGCTGAGGTGAGTGGATTGCCTGAGCCCGCGGGTTCGAGACCTGCCTGGGCAACTTGGTGAGACCTCATCTCTACAATAAATCAAAAAATCAGCTGGGTGTGGTAGCGCATGCCTGTAATTCCGGCTACTCGGAAGGCTGAGGCGGAAGGATCGCCGGAGCCCAGCAGGTCGAGGCTGCGGTGGCCGGGAGCAGGCATGCACTCCAGTCTGGGCGACAGAGTGAGACTCCACCTCAAAAAAAAAAAAAAAAAAAAAGAATGTGGTGCATAAAGGAGAAGGAAGGTAGTAGCTTGGTGCATCACCCTGGCATATGAACACAATGTTTATGCTCTTTAACAAGAAACTCTTAACTTCCTTTCTAAAGTGTACATAACTTACTAGAAATAAAGCGTCCCAAACAATGAGAAGAATTTTCTATTGAGTAGTCTTCTCTGGGTTTTTGTTTTTCCCTGAACTTTACAAAATACTGATGAGAAAATATTGTGGAATTCTAGGTGATAGTCTAATGCCCTGCATCTGTGCTCTTGACTTTTCTTTATTGGGTTTTGATTGTTTGTTTGTTTTTGGCTCTGAATCACAAATGCCATGGCCGTACACCCTGAGATATGATGTGGAGAGCTTAAGAGAGACCTGGAATAGATATTGACCATTTGCTATTCAATGTAATAGCATGTACTTTCCCACCCAAAGGCTTTCCTAGAAACAAAGAAGTTTCTTTATTGCCCAGGGAAATGGCTGCATAGGTACCTTGGCTGGGAGATGTCCAGGGTCACTGGGTCACTGTGTGAAACCTGGTATTTGCCCCAGTTGCTAGAGTTACCATTTACTTTCTTTCCAAATCCTCCTACTCCTTCCTTTCTACCAGCTACCCTATTTTCTGCTTAGGCCCCAGGCTGTCCTGTTTTGAGAAACTTCCACTTATATATTAACTACTAAGGGTTAGTCCCTCTGTTTTGAGTACCTGTCTCTTTTTTTGTTTGTTTGTTTGAGTAGGCATCTCACTTTGTTACCTAGGCTGCACGCTCATGGCCACTGCAGCCTCGATCTGCTGGGTTAATGTGATCCTTCTGCCTCAGCCTTCCAAGTAGCTAGAGACACAGGTGCGAGTCACCACACCTGGCTAATTTTTTTGATTTATTGTAGAGAAAGGTCTTGCCGAGTTGCCCATGCTGGTCTCGAACCCCTGTGCTCAGGCAATCTTCTCACTTCTGCCTCCCAAAGTTCTGGGATTACAGGCATGAGCCACCGCATCAGGAGAATACATGTCGTTTAAGTATCTTAATCTATAGGTTCTCTCTTATTTCTCACTCCTTTCCTTGCTTTTTATTTTTGAAGAAACTGACTTTTTGACTAAGTAGGCATATTTTTGTGAATTCCGACAAGAGATTTTTGCCTGAGAGATCTAGGCAGGTTTCTCCAGTCGTACCGTCCCAAGGAGTAGTGTAACATTTGGAATCTGGAATCTTAAATGTGACTTGATGTTTACAGGTATGGTTTTAAAGTAGTGTTTGGTGGCCAGGCATAGTGGCTCATGCCTGTAATCCCAGCACTTTGAGAGGCTGAGGTGAGAGGATTGGCTGAGCCCATGGGTTTGAGACCAGCCCGGGCAACTGGGGGAAACCTTGTCTCTACAGTAAATCAAAAAATTAGCCTGGCATGGCGGCGCTTGCCTGTAGTTCCAGCTACTTGGAAGGCTGAGGCAAAAAGTTCTCCTGAGCCCATTGGGTCGAGGCTGCGGTGGCTGTGTTAAAAATAAATAAGTAAATAAATAGAGTAAAATTGTGTTTAGTAAGTCTAAACTCACTAATATGTATTTAACATGTATCTTTTAGTTGTAGCTTAGAAATCATGCCACACATAAAACACCTCAAACACCTCCCAGAAATGTATTTTGGCAAAGAAATGTACAATAGGGATAATAGCAGTAAACAACATTGCTGTATGTTTTTCTTCAGGTCTGCCTGTTTGTTCATAGGTGGTTAGAATATGTTTATATTTGTAGTTACTATTTTTTTTTTCCAAGTCAGAGACTCACTCTGCTACCCAGGCTGGAGTGCCATGGCACAGCAGCCTCTGCCTGCTGGGTTCATGCTATCCTTCCGCCTCAGCCTTCCAGGCAGCTGGAGCTACAGGCGCTTGCCACCAAACCTGACGAGGTCTCAGCAAGGTGCCCAGGCTGGTCTCAAACCCCTGATCTCAGATAAACCTCTCGTCTCCCATCTCCCAAAGTGTTGGGATTACAGGTGTGAGTCACCACGCCCAGCTACTATTCTTCTTAGAAGAGTAAATGAAGATAATGCACATCTCTTTTTTTCGAGTCGGAGTCTCACTCTGTCGCCTGTGCTGGAGTACAGTGGCATGCTCACAGCCACCACAGCCTCTACCTGCTGGGCTCAGGCGATCCTTCAGCCTCACCCTTCCAAGTAGCTGGAACTACAGGTGTGTGCCACCACGCCCGACTAATTTTTTTGATTTATTGGAGAGATGAGGTCTCACCAAGTTGCCCAGGCTGGTCTTGAACTCCTAAGCTCAGACAATCCTCTCACCTCTGCCTCCCAAAGTGCTGGGATTACAGGCTTGAGCCACTGCACCCAGCCTGATGATGCACATCTTTTATTTTATTTTATTTTATTTTATTTTATTTTATTTTATTTTATTTATTTATTTATTTTTGAGTTGGAGTCTCACTCTGTCGCCCAGACTGGAGTGCAGTGGCCGCTCCCGGCCTCCACAGCCTTGACCTGCTGGGCTCCGGCGATCCTTCCGCCTCAG